GAGGACAGAAAGTCATTACTAAGACGTTTTTGTGTCCAAATCGACGTTTGGCAAAGAACTCTCTGTTGAACACAGAGAAACCGGTCGCATCTATCATTGTTGAGGCCACACACACACACACTTCTCGCTGAGGTAATGAAATAAGCGGCCAACTTCAATGGCTGATAATGAAACTTCATTAGTGAAATATTGAATGATGCTGCTGAATCTATTTTCTGTGGCCTACAACAGAAGAGCAGGACGTCCTTCCTTCTTTCACTCAACTTCATTAGCTCTGATGGGCTTCTTTTGTTGATCATGTGCCTACGGACACATGAAACACACTTACAGACAAACGTGTGAGGAATAAATAGATTTGAGAAGGTCATACAGTGTTCTTGTGTTTCTGTAGCGCTTGTTTCATTCGACTCTCAGCGAGACGTGTCGGTCTCCAGCCGATGAAAGTGTGTGGAAAGATCACTGTAAGCAACTGCTCAGCTCCTCTGATACGCTTTTAATGAAAAATCCAACAATCCTCCAAAGAGTTAGGGCACGCGAACACAAAGAGCACGAGTAAACATGACCATACTTGCTTAATTCATCAGTTACTGTGGCATACAAAAAAAACCTCAATCCAACCTTAACTCTATAAAGGAATTCTAGTCAACTAGATGAGTGGTCAAATCATTTAGACGTAAGAAATCTAGAGAAATAAATCCAGAACAGCTCCATAAAAATATCATCGAGTTTTACTTTGACAGGCATTGTAAATATCCCTAACAGCCTCCTATCCCATTACTCTTGTCTCCAAAGAAACTTTCTGTAGTTCTTACTGTAAGAGTTCAGTTCTGTACTGTTGTGGTTCCTTCCTGTAAAGGTCATAGAGGACGAAGAAATGAGCTGCTGTGGCCTCTTAATCTCTTAAAACATAAGTCTGGCTTATTAACACAAGACCCGGCGTGCCGTTTGTGTGATAAAGTCAATGAACATTGCTCATATTAGAAATTAAACACTTCCCTGAACCTTCAAACTGGGACTTTGTGTCATAAATGAACTACAATGAGAGCCACTAAACAGTAATGTTGATCTCATGAAGAAAATTACTGATAAAAAAAAAAAGATCAAATAACAATTTTGTCAACAATAACAAAAGTACAATATGCACCATGACGATAACTAAAGAATTTTAGTACTCTTGACAAACAATAACAAGACATTAATGCACCAATGCACAAGGGTTATTACAGTAAACTAAAACTTAAAAAAAAAAGGAACATTTATCATTTTAATTTAGTTTAACTTGATGCAATAAAATAAGTGAACTAAAAATGGAAATAAAATATGAAAAACTACTCAAAATAAGAAAAACAACAACATTACTAGAAATTCAACTAACATGAAAATGGAAAATACAAAAGTAAAAACGATCCAAAATATTAATAAAAAACTATAACAGAATCTCAATTATATTAAAATAACCCTGCAATGCATGTTTTCTGAAAGAGATAAAACTAGAAACAATATCATCAATTTAAATAATGCATTTATAATCTGGATAATAATCATTGCACTTTTTTGACAACTAAATATATTTTCATCAACTAAAATGAGATGCCTTTTTAGAAGTAAAACTGACTAAAATTAATGTATATAACATGATGAAAGATTGACTAAATGTAAAGCATATTTTCATTTTCAACAAAAACTGACTAAAACTAAAAAAAGCTGAAAAATGTACACAGTCAGCAAGATTTAATTAAATATATTTTATTGTATTTGTGTAGTATTTATCACTACACATATTGTTTCAAAGCAACTTTATATTTCTGAATTACAGAAAGCCTTACAAACCCTCCAGCAAAACACCTTAAGATGGTCCCAACGAAAAGACCTTGAGAAGAACCAAGATCAGGGTTGAACAAAAGATGCAGGAAAAAGATGAATGTATGCATTTCTTCATTCACAAATCTTTGCCATTCACAAGAAGCGTTACCTGATGTAAGCCATACATAGATAGATCTCAGAGCAGCAATATACAGATCGACTTGTATAAATCTGAAGAGTGTTGGCATCGCAAATGTTCATCCGAAAGACAAACGTCTATAAATAGAGCAAGTTCAGCACTGTTGCTCCTCTCTGTACAGGAGTGGGCGTCCTAAAAGAAGATGAACCGCGCAGAATAATCAGTGATGTTCAGAAGACTTACAGAAACCCCTGGAACAAGCCAACATCTGTGACGCGTGTACGATATGTCAAACAGAAGACCAGAGCTGATGTGAGGACATCGCAGAGGAAACAGGACTGCACACCTGATCTTCACGAAAGAGCACCTGGATGTTTCACAGCTGGCGAGATATTCAGATTCACAATCATGCTGTCTGGATAAAAACACTGTGTGTGGAGAAAAAGGCACTGAAGACCAACATCAAATGCCCAAAAAAGTTGACTGAGATGCATTGCTTCATCAGGGCCTGGACAGCTTGATATAAGATTTTTTTCATTTTCTTTAGAAACCCCGTAAGCAGATTTGTCAAGCAAGTTTTCGAGATTAAAATGAACAGATTTGAATGATCAGAGTGCATTGTCAGCAATCTATCTCAAACCAGATGGTTGATTGTTTATATTGTCGCAAGATGTAAACTATATTATCACCCCGATCTAATCTGCTAAATTCTACTATAAGGGATAAAGATATTATGAACATTAACATAATTAACATTAAAACTGCTTCAAAACCATGTGTCCTGTTAAAAGCTCTATACAAATAAAAATGACTTCACTTGCTGATCTTGGGTGAATACTGTATACACTCTTAAAGGGGCCATGTACTCATCTTTTTGACCTTTGGTCGAAACAGGACAGAAAGCAGCCTACTTCTAAATTATGATGTGTTTTGATGTAAAAATCTTGATAACATTATAAGTGGAGCTCAGAGAACAGTCCATAATAATAATAATTAAAAAAAGGCAGTTCATGACCACTTTAAAAATAAAGCATTTATTTATTGGCATAGATGGTTCCATTAAGAACCTTTAACGTTCACAGAATCTTTCAATTCCACAAAAGGTTCTCTGCAGTGTCATTATTAACATGTTTTAAACACTTAGAAAAAAATGGTTCTTTTAAGAATAGATCATTAAAAGGTTCTTTGAGAAACCAAAAATCATCTTTTGGAAGCTTTATTTTTAACAGTTGATGTTATTACATTTAGATGGACCCTCTTCGAGTTTATAGAGACACTAATATAAATATGATAACATTATTCATTGTTCATGTACCATTTTTTACCTGAAACATTTTAGTCAGACATTCATCTAACGGTTTTTTAAATGTTACTTGTTTCAAAAGTAACGTTCCCATAATGTTTGCAAAATGGAAAAAAATGTTCCCTTAACATTTGCATAACCAAGAAAAAGTAACTTAATGAGAAAAGAACTTGATGGGAATGTTAGAAAAACATTCTTAGAACATGGTTTTGTTAGCTGGGACGCCGCTACAAGACTCAAGAATGTGCAATTTGTAATTTCTCATTTAAAGCATTATTTATGATCCAATCAGATCATCATTCATTCAAATACATTCGGCTTATTTGGGAGAAATACCAATGTTTGCTCACTGTCTATGCCTTGTCAACATGCAATATTAAAACAATGAATTAGTCATTAAATCTAATCATGTTTAACTCAATAACTTTATAATGCATAAGTCAGATCCATGTTCCTGCGAGTGCTTCACATCCTCTCTCCTCCTCCAGAGAGTTCAGATTTTATGGGAACTAAAATCTTGAGTGAAACTCAAATACATCTGCTTCTCTGGAGCTTTAACACGCATCGACCCTCAAATCTCAGTAGCAGTTTTTTTGACGTTCTCATGGTGCACATAAAAATGCTCAGGATGCCATGTGCTATCAATAAACCACTGTTCATGCAATCTCTCTTTGGGATGTGACGGGATATTTACTTTACTATTATAACACTGCATATTTAAACATTGCTGTGAATCTTTGCAGCCGCACATGTACAAGTCAAACACATGCAGTCTGTCTGGCAGAGAAGATGGTATTCATGTGCTGACGGCTTAAAGAGCTAGAGAGGACCAGTCACGTGTCTCCATGGTGACAGGAAGTGAGGCGACACTGACGAACTCACAAAGTTCTTACAAGAGTTGTTTTTAACAAGAAATAAGTAGATCAGGTTGTGTTTTGACAGAAAGCTTTGTCAGATAATGTGGTTCCCTCATCTGGCCAAAGAGAAAAAATGCATCCGTGTTCAAATCTCTGTATGTAAAAACATGAAAACCCATTATAAACGAGGCATTTGTTGCATCCAGTGGGGACATAATTACGGATTATAATGACTTAAGGGCTTTTTACGCGTTGCGTTGAGTATCGCGCCGCGTAAACATAAAACCATGTCTGCATTTGTGATCAGAGAAATGACAAACAACAAGTGCTACTCTACACTGCTCAAACCTCGCGTTTGAATCGTCAGTGGCAAATTCTTTAAATATAAAAAACGTACTTATAGTCTGTGAGTCAGAACAGCCGGCATTGTAGTCTACTCTCCCAGGATCAGGAAACGGTCCTCCATAAAATGTGCTGCGCACATCTGAATATTTGGGTTGAAGTGTTCTGGAACAGTGTTGTAAATACAACTTAACCACTCATTTCTAGTCGTGTCCTCTTTTGGAAGACCAAACAAAGTAGTTTCTCTTTCACAACGAAACGCACAGCGACTTCACGACATGGCTGCAGCAACAATACTACAGCGAGAATAAAAGTTACGCCTTCTTTCTTTGCGTGAACATTTGGGCGGCGTTATGCAAATCTTCCCACATAGTGATGTAGATATGTGAGCTACGAGGCATTTTAGGAGGGCGTTGACCAGTCTTAACTTTTATAAAGAATATCTCTCTGGGTTTGAGACTTTAGTCTTTGCAACTTTAGGGATCTTATCTATGCATGCACAGCTTGTAACACTCCAAAGAGAAAGGAACATTTTAAATGGCATCATATGACCCCTTTAATTATCTTTTTCTCTAGAGAGATATATTCTTGCCAAAAAATACAGTCCAGCACAAGCTGCTGCTGCCAGGAGAGCTGCACCTCCTGCTGCTCCTATTAATGGTGCTGCTTCTGCAGCTGGTGCAACTGATGCCATCATTGAAAATATAGCTTCTCCTCCTCCTGCTCCTCCTCCTAAATCTGCTCCTCCCACTCCTGCTCCTCCTAATAGTCCTGCTCTTAATGCTGCTCCTGCGAATACTGCTGCTGCTACTGCTATTGCTATAGTGAAGATGTCACATTTTTTGAGCCGGAGATCTCTCTGAGTCTCCTTATAGTCCTGCTCAGTGTATCTCCTGTATCCATTCTTCCTCCTCAGAGACTCAATCTTTTCCAGAAGCTCAGTGACTTGAGATCGATCTCCATCTTTGTTGTTAAAAACATGAAATCCTCCTGAACACTGATCAACGAGTGACCGCAGTGTTTGACATTCTCCCAGATGATCTTCTACCGGCTCCTGTAACTGATCTGCATGAGTAAAGAGCACTATTGTGTGTTTTAAGACCTTTGCTCCAAAATTCTCCTGGATCCATTTCACAGCTTCACGTTTCTCCTTTGTGAACGTCTCACCCAGTCTGATCACCAGCAGAATCACATCGAGTTGTGTATTCTGTAGTATGCGCTCTATTTGTGTCTGAACATCTGTAATCTTCACAGCTGTATCAGAGAGTCCTACGGTGTCGATCACAGTGATTGCTCGTCTGTTCACCACTGCATGTGCTGCTGTGCAAATTTTGGTCTCAGACGTAGAATGACCAGGTTCTTCAAATGCTTTTCTGTCTCCACCCAGGATGGTGTTTCCTGATGCACTCTTTCCTGCTCCAGTCAGACCCAACAGCATAATATTCAGGTCTGAAACTATAAATCAGACAGACAGAGAGATGGACATTACGGATGGGTGGATGTTAGCATGAATTACTCAGCACGTACTTTCAGGAGGATGAGACATGCTTCCCTGCCGCATCTTGAGTGTGAGTGGATTTCTCTGTCTCTCTATTATTAGAGACATTTTGTTCATTAAAAGATAAAAACTTGCCACTTCTTTACATATAAAAAAAAAGTTTATTTTGCTAAGTAAGGTTCATAAGACATGGATCTGCATGTTTACAATGGTGTTTCCTGGTCTGCTATTTACAGTCTTAATCAACAGCACAATATGCTAAATGACATGTCCCTTAAATAATACACAAAACATTCATTTACTGATTTGTAGCATTGCATACGTAAATAATTAAATATCATTTAAAGGGATAGTTCACCCAAAAATGAAATTTCTGTCATCATTTACTCACCCTCATGTCGTTCCAAACCTGTATGAGTTGCTTTCTTATGTTGAACACAAAAGAAGATATTTTGAAGATTGCTGGTAATCAAACAGTTGGTGCTTGCCATTGACTTCCATAGTATTTTTTTTCCTACTATGGAAGTCAATGGCAACCACCAAAGTGAAACTGAAAGCTGGTTGGTATAAAGGCGGAAGGAGGGAAGTATCCTTGAACTTCCGTTTTACTGTCCAGCAGCAGGACAAGTCAAGTCACTGTATTTGTATAGCGCTTTATACAGCACTGATTGTGTCAAAGCAGCGTGGTGTCAAACAGGAAAATAGCTTGTCAATAATGCAGTCAACACCAGTTCATTGATGATTCAGCAGAAACGCGACAGCCGCTTCAGACCTGTTATTGTCAGCTATTTTCAATGGAAAACAGCTCAAACCTGCTCAGAAAGTCGCTAAATGTCCACTGGGTGTAGCATACTTGAATGTGCGCAAGGTTCTTGTTTACTTCGGAACACCTAAAGTAAAAATTGCATTATGCTTTTGCGTTCTCTCCAGAAATGTTGCACTATTTGTTCCACATTGTTCAAATTGGGGGGGGAGACAATAATATGACGCCAGTATTGTAGCCTATACATTGAAGACATGTTAATCAGTGAATATGTTTGTTTTGAGCGATGTTTGAATGAACTGAATACAAAAAAAAAAAAAAAAAAAAGATTTTCTTGTGTTAATACTTTTATTTCCATATATTTTCATTTTAGACAAAATATCGTTCTGAGACAAAATTGCTGTTTAGTCCAGTTTTACATCTCACTTAGTTTAATATTTGCATTTTTCTCTAGACAGAGAGAGCAGCTCAATTCCATTCAGTTCAAGCATTTGATTTTCAAAAACCCTAAATTACAATTAATAACCCTAAATTACAAATACATTTGTAGAATAAAAAACTGTTCGTACCCACATCTGCAAGCGCTCGATGCACACAAGGGCTCTGCGCTTCCACGCATGCGCACACATCCACTGCATGACAGCGCCCTCTGCTGGACACCGATAGATACGGCTTCTCCGGTGTTCAATTTCATTCTTAGTGTGAAATCATCAAAAAAGCCCGTTTTTAAGCATATACCAATATGGTAATTTACCAGCTTAATCTAAAATATTAAGTTTAAACTAAATTTGTGATACATTTTGTGTTGTTATATGCTTTAGTTCAGGATAAATCCAGATATTCAGGACCAAACCACAAAACTGAATTACTACAAGTCATTTGTGCAACTTATTCACTAAATGCCCCTATTACCTCAACCCTAAAACAACTACATGCACATTTGCAGAACTTACAGTAGATCTAATGTTATTTCAGTCACAGATGAGGCAGGGTCCGTGAGTTTCCCAGCAGAAATATTACAAAAAGAACAGAAACATCATGAAAAATGAAAGCATAGCACCAAGTACAGAAGTTTGACTCGTCTTTCACATTGCAAATCCCCATCGCTCTGTTGTTTAATGTTTTCTTTTCTTCTCTGATGCTCCACATTTTGGATATGAACGTATAACTTTGTTTTATTCCGTCCCCTCATAAGATAAAATCCAGAAAATAGTTGATGATACAGTATTTGTGCCATTAAAACAGTTGAACACAATACATACAGACTGAACGTAACCATTTAAAAATCTTAAAGCAATATGGACCATTTTGTTTGTGTGCGTCTTATGTCTTAAAGAAATAGTTCACACGGCAAAAACAATCTGTTAGAATTTACTCACCCTAACAAAACTATTTAATCGAACACTATTCAGAGGAAAACAAAAACACATGTTCAGCATAAAGAACATTGAACAAGTTTAGAACAACATACGGGTGAGTAAATGATGAGATAATGAGTGAACTATTCCTTTAAAACGTCTCGTTGCAAAAGAAGCATTTAAGAACAGCTTGAAAAATAATAATCAGAAACATGAATTCATAAACTAGATCATCAACTAGAACATCTATAATCTAAAGCTCACCCTGAAGAGAAGAGCGTACCGTCGTTTATTCCTCTCCTGACGGATGTGCGTCGTGACGGGTTTGGCACTCGGATAGGGAGGAATCATCTTTCGTTATGTTGGCCGGGCAGCATTGTGTGTAGTGTGAGACTTTCTAGAAATAATATTGTGGAAGTGAGTGCAGCTTCGAGAGGAGGCCAAAGGGAAAAGGTCAAGAGGTCAAGGTTCAGCTGACCACCCGGATGCCGAAGTATTTCTTCAGCTGCTCCAGGAAGACGAACGTCAGGACCGTGTGAGGAATCAAGCGGATACCGGCCGGAACTAAACCCTGCCGTGTGATTGGACGTCAGAAACATTGTCAAAAAAAAATATCAGTAATGAAACGGATCACAGCATTATATGAAAAAATGAAGCAAAGTAAACCTTGGTACCTTGTAGAAGGCTAGTGGTCCCAGTCTGGCAGTTTCAGTCAGGCAGTGAATCACACCCTAATATACAAACATGAATTTGACAAATGAGCAATAAAGATGAGACAATGATCAGAGAGAGAGAAAGCGAGAGAGCGAGAGAGCGAGAGAGGAAACTCACTCTGTATTCTCCTTTAGAGTTCATCAATCTCGTCTTCATTACATCCAGCGGCTGGCAGAGGAATGTCGCACAACCTCCCTAAAGAGAGAAAGTCATGACATAAAAATTTATATTTATTTAAATAAATAAATGCTTTTTTTTTTAAACATAAATAATGAAATTCAAATATATTACATATTACATATGCATTATATTATATAGAAATTTATTATATATACACGTCATATATTTATCGATGACAAAAATGTAAATATAAATAAAAAATGTAAAACTATAAAGTTATAACATGATTTGTTTACAGACACACACTCACACACACACACACACACACTCACACTTCCACACACAGACACACTCACACTCTCACACTGACACTCACAGACACAGACACACTCACACACACACTGACACACTCACAGACACAGACACAGACAGACACAACACACACTCACACACAGACACACTCACACTGACACTCACACACAGACACAGACACACACACACACACTGACACACTCACAGACACAGACACAGACACACTCACACACACTCACACCCCCATAACTAC